GGGAGGGGCAGAGAGAGGGAGACACAGAATCCAGAGCAGGTCCGAGGCTCCGAGCTATTAGCACAGAGCCCAATGCGGGGATCGAACTCTTGAACTGGGAGATCATGACCTGAGCCGAAGTCAGACCCTTAACTGGCTGAACCACCCAGGCGCCCCTGGAAATGTTCTATTTCTTGACTTGGGTGGTTGGTTACACGGGGCTCGAACTCACGAATCATGAGTCATGACCTGAGCTGAAGTCAGATGCTTAACTGACTGAGCCACCCAGGCCCCCCTATTTGTGCCTTTTAAAAATTATAGCCTTGGGGCACTGAGTGGCTCAGTTGGTTGAGGGTCTGACTTCGGCTCAGGTCATGATCTCACAGCTCGTGTGAGTTCCAGCCCCACAGTGGGCTCTCTGCTGTCAGCCCAGAGCCTGCTTCAGATTCTCTGTCTCCCTCTCCCTCTCTCTCTGCCCCTCCCCTGCTCTCGAACACACACACACTCTCTCTTTCAAAAATCAACAAAAAATAAATAAAATACAATAAATAAGGCCACCCGTGTGGCTTAGTCTGTGAAGCATCCGACCTCGGCTCACATAATGATCTTACGGTTGATGAGTTCGAGCCCCGCGTCAGGCTCTGGGCTGACGGCTCAGAGCCTGGAGCCTGTTTGGGATTCTGTGTCTCCCTCTCTCTGTCCCTCCCCCGCTCACGCTCTGTCCCTGTCTCTCTCTCTCTCAAAATTAAACAAAACATTAAAAAACATTAATAAACAAACAAATAAATAAAATACAAATTATAACCATGTACATACCTCTTGATCTGGCGGTTCTATTTCTAGAAATGTATACTGTTTGATATAGTAGAATTGATCATAAAGATATTGGATGACACACACTGGGTTTGGTAGCACTGTTTGTAATAATGAAATATTGGAAACGCCCTATATTTCTGTCAATAAGGGACAAGAGAAAAATATCAGGTACATCCATACAATGGAGATCTATGTGGCTGTTACCAAAAACAAAAAAAGGAAGCTCTCTACACAGTGATATTGAAAGACCATGAAACCGTTCAATGATAAATGCAAAGTGTCGGAGTATACGGTATGTTGTTGTTTGTTTACAGGGTGTGTATATGACATTCCTTGTATATGTATAGAAAAAATCTCTGCATGAGAATCTCAGAATCCAGGGGAAAACTGGGGGTAGCTGAGGGCAGTGGCAGAAGAGAAATTAGCACTGGAAACCTCTTTAATACATTAAAAATTTTATACAACGCAAATATATCATCCTGATCAAAACGAATACAACGAGAAGCTTAAAAACACTGGAGCTGAACGAAACCTACTCGCAGGCCTGATGCCCCCAGAGCTGCCCGTCTGTGACTCCCGCCTTGTCCATTTCGACCCTCACCCACAAGGGCACTGACCACACGGTGAGACCACGAAGTGACCCCCTCGGATCACTCAGTAATCAGATGCTTAACACACCCTCATTTGTATAAAGTAAGTGCATAAAAAGGGAAATCAACCGACAATGGCGATGGGCTTGGGCTTGAAAGCTGTATTCATTTCCCGCAGCCTCTGCAAGAAATCACCAATAGCTTTCTTTAGTGGCTTAAAACTACGAAATTTCTTCTTGTACATTTCCGGGGGTTGGAGGTCCGACACCACTTTCACCTGGCTAAAGTCAAGGCGTTGGCAGGGCTGGTCCCTTCCGGAGGCACTGGGTGGAGAGCCGCGTCCTTGCCTTTTCCAGCTTCTAGAGGCCACCTTCACTCCTGGGCTTTACTCCCAGCCAGGTAACCCAGGGCCACCTCCCCATCTCAGGATCCTCAGCTCAATCACATCTGCAAAATCCCTTGTGCCTGGAAGGTGATGTTCACAAGTCCCAAGGACTAGGGCATGATTAGGTCTTTAGGGGGTCATTATTCGGTCCCACAGACACCATCCACACACGACAGATCCTAACACATTTCTGGTAGACAGATCAGGTAGAGGCTTGGGGACATGAATGGCGTGAGGAGGTCACTGCATTCGGGAAAGGGCTGCAGGGGAGAGGGAGCCCAGCGCCACCAGGGTAATAGGGAGCAGACGAGAGTGAGAAAACGTAGCTAAGACAGGCTCAGATGATAGTCTGTCCATGCTTTCTGTACCCCGTCTTGCCCCCTTCCACCCGACTACCAACATTCACATGCAGGGAAATCAGAACCAGAGGGCGGTTCCCCAAAGAGGTCCAGCTCTCTGACAGCCCGAGATGCTAACTAGGGTGGGTGCTGGCTTCTGAAAAAAGCGGGTCCTATTCTGGTGCTCGTGGAGGGTGGGAGGGGCAACCAGAAGTGGGGCTCCTGGCCTCTCGCCCCCACATGTGGGGCCAGCCCGAACGCAAGGCCCACACGCAGACACAAAGCTTCCATTCATGCTCCAACTCAGGGCAGAGGCCTGGAGGGAAACGGGCCAGCATTTATAGCAGGAAACACCCCACCCCCCCATCACCTACAGACACTAGCCTTGTCCTTCTTCTGAGATTGACAAGGAACAAGCAAGCCTCACCAGACAGGGTCCAGTCAGGGTGCACACACCGTGTTCGGGTGATGTCTCTCTGGTGTCTTTTTTGTTTGTCATGTTGACTTTTTTGAAAAGTACGGACCAGTTACCTGGTATATATTCCCCGTTTGCCATGTCTGGTTGTTTCCTTGTTATTAAATGCAGGGTTAACTTAATATTATTTTTTTTCCACAAGAATTCTGCATGGGTAATTTTGTGTGCTTTTTTTTTTTCTTTTAAGTTTATTTATTTTGGGGGGGGGGCGCTCAAGCAGGGGAGGGGCAGAGAGAGAGAGAGAGAGAGAGAGGGAGAGAAAGAATCCCAAGCAGTCTCTGAGCTGTCAGTGCAGTGCCTGACAAAGGCCTGGAACCCACAAACCGTGAGATCATGACCTGAGCCAAAATCAAGAGTGGAAAGCTTAAGTGACTGAGCCCCCCAGGAGCCCCAATTTTGTGTACGTCCTATAGTGCCACATCAAGAGATTACTTGATGTTGGGGCGCCTGGGGGGCTCAGTCGGTTAAGCGTCTGACTTCGGCTCAGGTCGGCTCAGGTCATGATCTCGACTTTGGCTCAGGTCATAATCTAGAGGTTCATGAGTTCGAGCTCCTCGTTGGGCTCTGTGCTGACGGCTCAGAGCCTGGAGCCTGCTTCGGAATCTGTGTCTCCCTCTCTCTGCCCCTCCCCGCTCATGCTCTGTCTCTCTCTCTTTCTCAAAAATAAATAATCATTTAAAAAATGAAAAACCAAAAAGAGATACTTGATGTCTTACTGTCCCACTGTTGCAGATTTGTTTGATCATTTGGTTGAGGGTGGGTAGGTACATTTTCCCCCTTTGTAGTGCATAAGTCATCTGTTGGGTAATAATTCTGGAGTGTTCTGCAACATTTTACCAATGATTTTTAGCATCCTTTGATGATCCTTTTACTGGGGACCCTCTGTGTTTTTTCTAATTTATCTGTAATAAACCGCATTCTTTGTTGAAATAAATTGTCCAGTGCCTATGAACTTGTACAATCTATGTAGTCTGTACCTGGTTCACAGTAGGTGCTTAATAATGGTATCCATGTAAAAACTCACCACCACAATCTCTTATGCACAAACGAACCTTCAGGAATTGGGCCCCCAAACTCTTCAAGTAGGAAGACGTGACTAAACTGACATCAGGTGATTTACAACTTCTATTCCACTTAGTGTGTCTTCCCCTCTCTATACGCTTTGAAACAGAAGTATCACGTGATGTGGAGCATCCACCAGCCCCTGCGGGGAATACCGCAGAACACCGGATATGGTATAATCATTAAAAAAAAAAAAAAAAAAAAAAAGTCCGGACTCCAACCATAGCCTAAGCCCTTTAAGTAAGGGACCGTGTGTGGATCGATACTAAAAATGTTTGAGTACAGTAGAAATGCTTGGTGAGGCGGTTGGTACAATAAGAGGTCACATTTATTGAGCGCTACACGCGCAGGATCCGCGCCATCCTCACGATGGCGCTGTGGTGCCTCGCTGAGGCTTCTAGCAGAGGGGGGCCTGGGGAACCCAAGCTCCAACCCTTGCCTGTTATGTGACCCCCAAACAAGGGACTTGCAACGCGTGCATAGACCACCTAACTCTGGGCCTCAGTTTCTCACGAGGGGCGTCTTTGGGGTCATGCATATAAAGCTTTTAGCACAGTGCTTGCTGTGAGCGAGCTCTGGGGGAACTGGGACCAGCAATGGTTTGCTAGCGGGAGGAAGGCCTGGCGTTCCGAAGTCTGGCTCTAGGATGTCTCAGGTCAGTCATTTGAGGTCCCTTGGGCGATCTAGGGCGATCGGAAGGAAAGTGACTGCCCAGGAGGTCAAGAGAGAAATGGGTCGTGGTCCCATCCTTGCTGCTACTGAACCTCGGATATTTCACTGGTTTTCAGGGAAGGGGGCAGGTTTCCAAAGTGGGGGCACGCGGGCTGTCGTTGCCAAAGAGAAGTACGCGTGGCAGAGAGGTCCTCCTCAAGCACAAGCCGGGCTTCTGAGACTCTACGCTGGGGACGCAGTGTAAATGCGAGAGAATCCCTGGGGATAGGAACTTGATCCAACGTTTCAAAACCAGGCCCAGGGTCGGAGTCACAGCTAAGCCATTTACAGCACTGGCCAGATGGCGGGAGAGACGTTTTGAATGGCGGAGGCGGCTGTAGGCAAGGAGGCCGGAACGAGGAGGCAACAAGATTTGGTGGGGAGGAAGCAGCTGGAACCATTCCCCCGGCGGAGGCTCTTGGGGAGGTGGACCTCGCTGGGAGGAGGTGGCTGGGGGGGGGGGGGGGGCCGGGCCCCGGTACCCGATCGGCCGGTTGGCAGCGGGGAGGCGCGGGGGGGGGGGGGGGGGGGGCGGGGAGTGTAAGCTCTCCAAGGGGCGGGCGCCCGGGTCCCAGAGCGCGGGGGCTGAGCGTCCTCCCCGCCCCGCCCCGCCAGGCGGCAGCTGGACCCTCCCCCGGCGCCTGCAGCCTCCCGGATCCCGCCCCTGCCTCGCTCCCGCCCGCCGCAGCCGCCCGCCCGCGGATCCCGGAGCCGCCGGCCCCCGCAGAGGACCGACTGCCCAGACTGCGGGTCCCGGGGCTCCCTGGGCGGGGCCGATCCCAGGGAGCCCCCCTGACTGCCTCCCAGAGCAGGGTGGGGAAAGGGATCTTAGCCCGCCGCCGCCTCCGAGCGGGCCGCCAGGTGAGCGTCGGGACAGGTAGGGACGCAGGTCGGGACGGGTGTCCCGTCCCCACTCGCCCCCGGGGCGCCCGGGGAAGGACTAACGCCCCCGGGCCCCCGCGGGAGGGGCGGGTCCCCCCGGAGTCCTTGTTCCCCAGCGCCCCTTCTCCTGCCCTGCCCGGGTCCTAGGCTGTCCCAGCCAACTTCCGCCCCTTTAAGTCCAGAGTCGCACGGACGCACGTTTGAAAGCCCCAGGTCGTGCGGAAAGGGCTTAAAACGGGTCCTCTGACGCCCACGCCTTCCACCCAGCTGCTCCTGGGCAGAGGCCACGGTGGAAGAAACTCCCCCTCCCCCCAAAACGTACCCGACCAACACGTGTACTCCGCAGCCGGCGAGAGGCCAGACCCCTTTTACCAGCTCTGGTTTCTTCTGTTTCTTCTGAGTGGCAGCCCCTCCGCCAAATCGGTGAATCAGAAGGCTCAGAGCCCCGTTTCTCGATTTAGCAACTTGGGCACAGTTTGTTTTTAGCTGCGGCCGCTCCTCCCGATTTAAATTTTGTTCTTCTAAGTTAACTTTTGCAGCGTTCAGGAATATTTCTTAACGCTCCATATCTTGTTCTTTCAGTCTGGATCCTTCAAGTTTAGAGAGCATCTGTTAACTAGCAGTTTTGAAAGGCTGCAATATTAGGCACCTACTTTTAAAATAAATACTTTTTTCAAGTGCCCCAGTACCACCCAAGAACAAAAGACAAATGAGGCAGACGAAGCTTTGCAGCAAAAACAGCCCCTTAAGCAACAGACCGCGGCCCCACGGCCAGTTAAAATTATTTGTAATTAATGGCACATTGCTCGCAGTTTCCCTATTGGCTGCTTTCATAACGTCAAAAAAGTGTTTTAAACGTCTTTCTTGTTCTTTGAAATATTTATAGGATCTGTTTGACTCCCCATTTTGTGAGGCCTGGCTGATGAATCTATTTTAATAATTTTTTTTCTTTTAATTTTAGAGAGAGCGCGAGCAGGGGAGAGAGGGTCAGAGGGAGAGAGACAGAATCTTAAGCAGGCTCCGGGCTTACATAGGGCCCTGGGATCCTGACCTGAGCCGAAATCAAGAGTCCAGGGTTCAACCACCCAGGCGCTCCTTCTTTAATAATATTTTGTAAGTTTATTTATTTGAGAGAGAGAGAGCGCGCGTGCGCGCGCACGCACACACACACACACACACACACACACACACGCACGCGCGCAAGTGGGGGAGGGGCAGAGAGAGGGAGAGAGAATCCCAAACAGGCTCTGTACTGTCAGCGCGGAGCCCCACGCAGGGCTCAATTTCACCATCAGTGAAATCATGACCTGAGCCAATACCAAGAGTCCAGTGCTCAACCCACTGAGCCACCCAGGCGCCCCAATATTGTTTAATAAAGTTTTTGTATTTATTTAAATACGAATTTTTTCATCCAATCAAGTTATAGATGTGATTCACAAATCAAATAGAAATGAGTCTGCCTTTTTATTTCCTATATATATAAAAGCAATATCTTGAAGAGCACGGAAAGGGGGAAGCAGTGTTTGATCTTTTTTATTTTATTTGGGGGGGGGCAGTATTTTATCTTTTACTTTTAAAAATATTTTTTAAGTTTATTAATTTATTTTGAGAAAGAGAGAGAGCAGGGGAGGGGCAGAGAGAGAGGGATAGAGAGAATCCCAAGCAGGCTCCGCACCATTAGCATGGAGCCCGATGTGGGGCTCAAACCCACAAACCACGAGATCGTGACCTGAGCTGAGACCAAGAGTCAGGTTCAAAGCCCGGCTCGGCGGCTTTTGTGTCAGGTGACCTTGGGTCCGTGGCTCCCCTTCTCCAAGGCTCAGTTTCCCCGGCTGAAAAATGGCACCTCCCTCCTGGAGCTGTTCGTGAGGCTTCTGTGAGATTCGAGAAAGCCCTTGCCAACGTGCCGAGAGCAGTTACTGTGCGGTTAACCGTAGCTGGTAGTTTATGAAGGCTTTTTCTTTCTTTTTTTTTTATTTTCTTGTTTCTTTTTTTAAATGTTTATTTTTGAGAGAGTGTGAGCGGGGGAGGGGCAGAGAGAGAGAGCTGGGGACAGAGGATAGGAAGCAGGCTCAGCTCTATTAGAGCAGAGCCCGATGCGGGGCTGGAACTCACCACCCGTGAGATCGTGACCAATGCGTGACCTACTCACCGGGATAGTCAAATCTCACACCAGTGTGACTCAGCCCTGCCACCAAATGGGTCTGGGAAAGAGTTCCGGTTTTCCAGGCTTTTGGATTTGGGGACTGGGGAGAGGAGATGGGGACCTGCACATTTCTCATTTTACGGAGAGGAAAATCCACTCAGAGAGGGAAGCCCGTTCCCCCAAGGTCATGAACAAGAGTTTGGGGTGGGGCTGGCCCAGGAGTGACTGACCATATAGAACCTGCGACACTCACCTTCCCCACAATGCCACTTTCTCTGCGGGCTGTCACCAGCAATTTCCGAAAGCAATGTCCCTTACTAGCCTGGTGATGCCTCCTCGCCCAGAAATATCACTGCTGCCTCCTGGGAATGAGATGATGCACAGAAAGAATTTTCCAGAGTGCCTTACCCAAAGAAAGCACTTGGCAAATGTGAATTATAATTTGCGCAAAGATGCAGTGAGACTGTTTCCTTCCTGGGTTCAATAACATCAGTGGTGTTTATTGATAGCATTAATATTTTTTAAATGGTGAATTATAACATCCATACAGAGAAGTATATAAAACAGATGAACAGTTTAACAAATAATTGTAAAATATGGAACCAGGGCCCAGGTCAGCAGCAAGAACATCGTCAGCCCCCAGAAGCTTCCCTGTGGGCACCTGGTTAATAGCCCTCTCCCTCCCCACAGGGGAAACCAGTGCCCTGACTTTTACGATACTCACGTTCCTATTTTGCTCTTTTTATTTTTTTTGGTTTTTTTATGTTTATTTTTTTTATTTTTGAGAGAGAGAGACACACACAGAATCCGAAGCAGGCTCCAGGCTCTGAGCTGTCAGCACACAGCCCGACGCGCGGCTTGAACTCGCGAACCGTGCGATCATGACCTGAGCCGAAGCCGGACGCTCAACCGGCGGAGCTACCCAGGCGCCCCTATTTTGTTCTTCTTTATATGGTTTTAGTACCCACGTGTGGATATTAACGACACTTTATTAGTTTAGCCTGTTTGCGAACTTTCTAAGAGTAGCACCATGGGTGGGAGTATATAGTTTATCATCCAAGCAGGAAACTTTAGAAGTAGGGGAGGTCTGGAATTACCCGAATTACCCTGGGGACCATATGTGTCGTAGACCAGGGCTGCCCCGCGCAATTCAAGCTGCCCGGGTGTCCCAGGACTCAACGTTCTAGGTGCCTTGCCGCCGTTCTGTGACCACCTTAATTTACTCCTACATCCTCCAGTGGATGGATGGGTCATTTCCAGACCGGAGCTGTTAGAGACAATTCTGTCATGAACATTCTAGTGTGTGTTTCCCGGCTCTGGGGTCAAATGGCTGGGTCCCGGGGCAGGCACACATTTTCAACTTCAGTAAAAAATGCCCATCTAGGGCGCCTAGGTGGCTCAGCCCGTTGAGCGTCCTACTCTTGATTTCGGCTCGGGTCATGATCTCGCGGTTTGTGAGTTCGAACTCCACCGTCGGGCTCTGCGCTGACAGTGTGGAGTCTGCTTTAGGGGCACCTGCGCGGTTCAGTTGGTTTTGGCTCGGGTGGGGTTGAGCCCTGTGGCAGGCGGAGCCTGCTTGGGATTCTCTCTTCCTCTCTCTGTGCCCCTCCCCTGCCCTCCCTTGCGCGCTCTCTCTCTCAAAATAAATAAATAAATATTGAAAAAAAAACTCATAAAACAATAATCGTACTTTTTAAAGATTATTCGCTATTGACCTTTGTAACTTCAAATGTTATGCTTCACTTCTTTTTCTTATTGTGGCAACTTTTGAGTCCCGTGACTTGAAGCAGGTGAGCCAAGCATCTTGGTTTCCCCTCCTCCCGCCTTGGTTTCCCATCTTTTGTTCCTTGTACATTTATTTTCACGGTGTCAAGGTTGATAACATCTACAGTCTGTTCTGTTACCATATTTAAGTCTTAGATGCTTTCACTGTAGAGTTTCCAGGGTTTTCCTGACAGCTTCAGTGAGGTGTAATTTACATACCATAAAAGTCAGCCCTCTAAAGTGTGCAATTCAGTGATTTTTTAGTGAATTTACAGAGTCGTGCAGCTATCACCAGTTTTAGAGCATTTCTGTCACCTCCAGAATATCCCCTGTGCCTATTTGTGGTCACTTCCCCGTTCCCCAGCCCAGCCCCAGGCAACGACTAATCTTTCTGTAACTTTAGATATGTCCTTTGGGGACATTTCATGTAAATATATCATACAGTATGTGGGGTTTGTGTGTGTGGTGTGTGTGTGTGTGTGTGTGTCTGGCTTTTTTCACTTAGCATGCTGTTTCGGGGTTCATTCATATCGTGGTGTGTACCCATTCTTGGTTCTTCGTGCTGCCGATCAGTGTGCCGTTGTGCGGATAGACCACGTTTTGTTTATCCATTCACCAGCGGACGGACGTTCGGGTCGTTTCCAAATAATGTTGCTGTGAACGTTTGCAATCAAGCCTGTGCGTGGACACGTGTTTTTATGTCTCGTGGGCAGGTAGTCTCGTGATAGAATTGCTGTGTTTCGTGGAAAGTTTATGCTGAGCTGTTTTTGTTAATGTTCACCTTTCAAAGAAACTGCCTGTTTTCCCAAGTGGCTGTCCCATTTCACGTTCCCATCAGCAACATGCGGGGGTTCCAGTTTCTCCGGGTACTGGCCAGTCTTTTGAACAGTAGCCATTCCGGTGGGCCTGACATGGTGTCTCATCGTGACTTTAATTTGGAGTTCCTTAATGACTAATGATGTTGAGCATCTTTTCATGTGCTCGTTAGTCATACACATACCGTCTTTGGTGAAATGTCTCCTCAAATTCTGTGTCTATTTTTAAAGTGGTTTGTTTGTAATAGTGTTGA